CCATTCCTTAGTATTGTATAGCCCATACTCTTTTGTGCTCTTCACTTTTGAAAATTGTTTGCTTGAAAATTGAATCAACTTTCAAATTGTAAAAACTTAAACCTTTTCTGATCTACAAATCTGAGGTATATAAGTAACTTAAAAAGAAAACCTGTAGCAATTAGAATTTGGAAGCAAATCCCCTAATTCAGTAGCATGAATTTCTAGGTGGTAACTGTTGTGAAACATATTTAGATTCTCTTAGTTAAAAAACAGAGGGATCGAAAGATAATGGATAGACATGGACAAGTGGGTTTCAAATAAAACTAAGCATTCTTTTTTTCAATAAAATGCGAACTTTGTTCAGTTTACTGGATTACAGTCATAAGGGTGCATATTTTGGAACAGATTAGAAATTTTCTCATGGGGAACCGATTTTGTCAAAAAATGGTGATGGGATTCAGGTAAAACACTTTGTGGGAATCCTGTCAAAACTCTTGATGGAGTTGATAAACCCACTTTAGTTCCTGCCTGCTGTGCTGGAGCTGCCGACTCCTGGCAGGCAACCCGGGGGCTTGGCGGGTTGGGGGGCTGCTCCACGTTGGGGTTCCCACTCTCTGTACTCCCCGGCTGCGGGGCCGCACGCCCTCCCTCTGGCTGGGGGGGTGAGTAGGAAGCTCTTCTGAAACTCCTGCTTCAAGGAACCTGCCTGTTAGCTGGAAAAAAAATCATTTATTTTGATTTCTCTTTTTTAAGATTGAGTTACTCTCCAAATTACTTTCTTGGAGTGGGATTTTTCTTTAACTTTGCCACGATTTGGGTGTGAGAAGAGGATGGGGGAAAAAGAGAGGTTTTAGAGGGAATATTTTGCAGGGCGAGATTTCTGCTTTACAGCAGACACTGGTAGGGACTGAAGGGCTTAATGCACAGATGGTGATAGACCGTACTGTACCAGTCTGAGAAAATGATTAATCAATACTACAGGGATTTATTCTAGTATTTAGTTCTTTTAATTTAGCCTTCTGTTTCTCTGCTCAGGAGTTCTGTAAGAGAATGTTCTAAATGTGATGCTGATTCAGGATCCTGGTGATTTTTGAAAGCAATCCAAACAGTTCCCTAAGTTTGTTTTTTTTTTAGCTGGATCTTGTGGCAAATGGCAGTGAAGAGAACAAATGTTCTGTCCATGTTTCTAACTGCGAGTTGCATAAATATGGCTTGGGTTTTAATGAAGTGGACTTGGAGAAGGAATACTGAGGAGCAGCAAATGATAAGCGAGTGAGATGCTTAATGCACATTTTTCATTGTCCTGTTGCACTTGCATTGCTGTAGGCAACCTTCATTCTGATACCTCCGAACTTTTGAGAGCTTGCCTTTCTGACTTTATTGATCTCTTAAAAGGAAGCCTGTAACTTCATAAATCTTGTTTTCAGCAAAATTAAAAAGAAAAAAAAGTAGCACGTGAAGTGGCATTATTTACACCAGTGTAATTCATTAATAGAGTTGGAACTTCTGGGCTCCTGATGCAGATCCTTGCTTCATGAGTTACTGGAGGATGTTGTCACCCTTTATGGAGGATCAGTGCTGGAGGAAGAAAACATCTTCCAGTGAGCACAAGGCTCCTTCCCTTTTTCTCTTCATCTCTTCTTTAATGTTAGTCACCTTTGCACTACTTGGCTTTTCCTCCTTGTCCTGTTCTGTTCCCTCACCCAGGTCTAGATTTTACTACGCTGGTTTCTTTTAATACTTACTACCTTGAAGTTTTCTGCCTGAACTAGAACCTCTCCCTGCTTCTATGCTGAGTTCTACTGCTTGTCTTAGGCACTCCCATCCTCTTGATGCTCCTTGTCCAAAACGAGATGTCTTTTCTCCTCATCACAGCATGAAAGCTTCTTGTTCAGGATGTGTTTCCATTGCCTCCCCAGTTCTCCCCTGCGTGGTTGTTCATTGTATCTTTGTCTCCTGCTCTTTGTCTCATTTAGCTCTTCAGTCTGTCTTCCCCTTGTCCTGCTTGGTTGTTTCCCACCAACCTGCTGATGGTAATGCCCTCTCCCAGCATACACATGCTTTCCCTGGTCAGTTCTTAAGTTTGTCCTGCCTCTCTCTTCCCATTTCTCCTTCATGCCCAGCCGCTTTCCTGGCTCTGTTCATTCCTTTTTCCTCTACGGTCTGTCATGTCACCATCTCAGTATTTGAATTTCTTCTTCCACTGTGGGTGTTGGTGGTGAGGTAACTGAGGTTGCTGGAAAGGTAGAACTGAAGTGTCTGTGGGGCCTCTGCCTCAATCCAGTGGGAGATGTACTTAGAGGAAAAATAGACTTGAGACGAAGAACACTTGCTTCATCAGAATGGCTCATGATTGGACCTGATGTGTGTGGGAGGTTGGAGAGCACCTCTGAAATCCTCAGAGATTTTAGTCAAATTCTTAAAAATATTTACTCTGTATTTGTAAATATATATGTTGGAGACAGGGAGAACTTGTCATCCAACACTGAGGGGGACAGACAGGTTCTTTTAGGGATCCTTGACAGGATGGTGATGGCACTAAATCATGGTTACAACTAAAGCTTTATTTGCTTAACAGGATATTCTGATTAATATAGCACAGAATTTATATTAGAATGGCACAGGACTTCTACAAGCAGAATCAATATTGTACAATTTATAAGTAGTCTAATACAGAATTTATAATACAACTTAAGTTATGATTTCTAATCACCTGGACCCTCTGCAGGTTGGATCAAATCTTTAATACATGGTTGGCTGTACCAATATAACAATCATAACCTAGACTCGAAATTCATATAAAAGAATATGAGTCACTCACTCAATCCTCAGAAGAAGCAGAGGACGGTGGAGGCATCCCTGGCCGGCAGCGGGTCATGGGTCTCACTGTCCAGCAGCAGCTCCCATCCAAGTTCCCCCCTTAGGACCGGTAACTGCTTGGTTTTATAGAGAGTGCTCTGTGTGCTGTTAACGCTTCACTCCTCTGTGACGGGGCCATCACCACCACCTCCTGGCCCCAGGTGCCTCGCACCTTCAAGACCGGCAAGGGAGGGAGTAATTGGCCTGGCACCCAGTAACCTTGGGGCTGGGAGGGAGTGGAAGAAGAAATCTGTTTGGTTTGTCTGCTTGGTTCACAGGACCTTCAGGACCTTATAATGAGGTGAAAGAGAATGAATATGTGACCCGCTCAGTCACAGAGAATGGCTGCTTGCTGCATAAAAGGGTGCTACTTATGCTAACCACATTGCCAGGGGTCAGGAGCAGGGGGTACCGCTCACAGAACAGCCCTAAGAACAGTTGGTTTCAGTGTGAACAGTTGGTTTGGTAGAGACTTTAGCAACAGTGGGCTGAATTTTACAATGGAAAGTTGTTGACGATATTGGTGATAATAGGCACTCCCAGGCTACCTCTGAATACCAGTGACTGGTATTAGTAACAACTAAGAGTGTTTTATGCTGGAGGAATGACCTACAAGTGATTGCAAGCCACAGTGTTAACTTCTAGAATGGGAAGAATTTACTTAGATGGATAAAAAGATGCATTAAGAAGTAATGGAATATGTAAAACGAAGTCACTGAAGGCTGAATATCAAGATTGTAAAGCAGTATGCTATAGGATGTTTCTTCCAAGGAATTAGTAGAAATTCTTTTTTAAATGTTTGTGTTGACCAGACGAAATGCAGAGATATCCTGTAAGAAGCACTTTCATATTAATGGGAGGAAGATTGTAAAGCAAAATATTCCTTTAATTTGTCTCTTCTGAGGAGCGTATGTTTGAGTTCTAGAAATGCAATATATAGCATAACCTCAAGTGATGTTCACAAAGCTACTTGAAATAGACTACTACTTTTCACTGTCATCCTTAAGTAGGACATAGGGCCCTTAAATACCCATGGAAATTTAAGTGCAAGGAGAGAAAACTAGGCTCTGATCCAAAGCCAGTTGAAGCTGATTAAGAGACTGCTTTTGGCTACCGAGGGCTCTGGCTTAGGCCACTAGCAAGCTAGAATGGAGTCTCAGGTGTTCAGATGGACTTTTTTTGTTAGTTAAGTGCAGGTTTTTCTTCTGATTGATGTTTGATTATAGGAGATGTCCCAGTGTAACACCTAAAGCGTTACATATTTTCACTATTGAATTCTAGAAATAGTAAGTGGGTAACACTTAACACCTTAACTACACTTAATCACCAGATTATGTATTGTTCTGTTTTTATGGCTTGACACTATACACTGTTAAATCACAGGTATACCTGGAGATGATATAATTATTCCTGTAAGATATGTCTACAGCTAGAATAGAGGCAAGGAAAATATCTTTACTTTGCATAGTTTGCAGTTCTTTATTTGGCCTGTTTTAGTGTGCTTCTCAATTCTTTCTGCCCTGTTAGATGTTTAAACTTTCAAATGGTGAAACAGAAGAGAGCGATATGTTTTTCAAATAGGAAGTGCCTGTAGAGTTGCAAATACAGGTTAAAGTGAGAGGTGATGGTCTGCCTGACTCAGATGATTGTCTTATTTTACTTGTTTGCATGCTTATCTTCTATTTTAGAAATAGAAAATAAAATGTTTACATTTTATCATAATGGGTTTTTTTGAGTGTGATCCAAGTTAGTTCTTTCATTTTAATTCCACTTGGCATGTTGCCACACTTAATTTTACAGCTTGGCCTGAACTTTTTATAGATGTGCATAATTATTAGCTATCTGTGTGCTGTGTCTCCACTTTTTTCAAGTTGAGAAGAGTTGGAAAGTCACTTTTGGAGTTGGGTCAAGATTTCATTCCAAATGTCAATAGAAATTTAGAGCTTGTTCTCTCTTCTAGCCGAGCTAGATTGCTTACATACTATTCACCAATGAAATTTTCCATAGTACAAAAAAATATTTTGAATAACTCTTACCTAGCATTCTGTAAAGCATCATGAAAAATGGGGTTTAGCGCTTGAGGGTCAAAATGTTTGCATCTGTTTGGGAGGATAAATTGGAACTTGTTTTAATTATTTTCTTTGGTATTTGGCCTCTAGGTTCCAGCAAGATGTGGAGTTACAGTCCGAGACAGCCTAAAGAAAGCTCTGATGATGAGAGGTCTTATTCCAGAATGCTGTGCTGTTTACAGAATACAAGATGGGTATGGTTTGTGTGTGATAGTTTAGAATCTCTTCTTGGAGTTACCCAGTATGGCCAGTTCCATCCGACATTGTAGAAGTTGTTTTCAGAGTTCAGAATGATACGATATTTTGCACTAAAACAATTTACACCTTGAAGACATATCTAAAAAGAATGGCAAACTCCTAAAAAAAGATTTAATCACTTCAAGAACAGGCGTAATGTAGATTAATATCTTATAGACTGCTGGCAAAAAAAACACTCAATCAAACTCATGCTAACCAAGCAAGTAAATAGGTTTCGTTAACTTTTTGGCTTTATTTGACTTGGTTATAGTCCTTTCTTAACTGAATATATAGAGAGTTCCTATGGGGGAAAAAAATTGACTTTTTAGCCCTAAAAAGTTTGTAGATTATCTTACTGCACAAAATTAGCCATCTCTTTGGAACTCTTCTGGGACAGGTACTTTCACAAGCACTTTATTTGATCAGAAAGGTATCTGTCGCTTTGGAACCAGGGAATCGGGCACTATTGGAGCTTATTGAAAAAGTGCATTTCTTTAATGCAGTTTTTCCAGGGAATGTGTACTTTCCTTGGTGTGTGCTGAGTTTAATGGCTTGGCTTTAAAGTTTCCTACAGTTAACAGACTGGGTAGCAAACCCCCATAGTGCAACTTTCTACCTGGTCTCACATCTTCAGCAGGAGACCTGCAAGGGCTTGTGTGCTGGTGCTAATGAAAGGCTTATTTACACCTTAGGGAGAAGAAGCCAATTGGCTGGGACACTGACATTTCCTGGCTCACAGGAGAGGAGTTGCATGTGGAGGTCTTGGAGAATGTGCCACTCACGACACACAATTTTGTATGTACTGGTTTTTATGAAATGTTGAGTAGGGTTAAATCAACTTTGTACTTTCAAATTCAAATGAAACAACTGTGAATAATATTTCGTATCTGTGGGATGTGGTGGGGGTTGCAAAAGTTTTTAATTAGAGTAGCTTAAGTGAATTAGATAGAATTGTAATTGAAATAAGTGATGTTAGAGTTCTTGATCGCCCTTAAAACTTTCACATTTGGATGGAATACACCCTCTAAAATCTATAAATGTAGGGGGTTTAAATCAACACTGCATTGCAGAGCTGTAATAATAATCTACTATTTTTGTATTGCTGTATCTATAAAATGTATTCTGGGCCTCCCTGCTGGCTCTGCAGCAGCAATTAACTAATGAACTAACTATTCCCAGAGCGGTGCTGACATCATCAATGATGCTAGTGCACAAATATGTTTTGACCTGATAAGGCACCAAGTAAATGGAAGCTGCTAAACAGAATACATCTAAATGGTTCCAGCTACACTCAAAATCCTGG